CATATTGTCAAAATGGAAACATTCTCCAAATTTATCTATAGATTTAATGCAAATCCTCATGGTGGGAAGCTAGAATTTTTCCCCTAAGATTGGCAACAGAAAAGGGCATCTCCTCTCACCAATACTGGCTAGTGCAATGACACAAAAAATGAAGCTAGAGGTATGCACCAGAGAAGGAATAAAACTCTGTGTTCACAGACGACATCGTTGTCCATGTAAAAAATGCCAAAGAATCAACAACAAAAAATCCTAGAACTTAGGAGCGATTACAGCAAGGTTGCATGATGTAAGGTTAACATGCAGACGTCAATCGCGTTCCTAAATACCACCAATGAGCAACTGAAGTTCGCAAGTAAAGACATAGCATCATTCACATTAGCCCTCTCAAAAACGAAATAGTTAAGTATAAATATAACAAACTATGTGCAAGATCACTACGAGGAAAATCACAAAACTCTAATGAAAGAAATCAAAACTCTGAATACATGAAGAGACAGCCCATGTACATGGATAGAAAAAAAATCCATGTTAAGATGTGAATTCTTCCCAACTTAATCTATACATAACAGTGCAAGCTCAATAAAAATCCCAATGAGTCATTTGTGGATATTGACGAACTGATTTAAAATTTTATATGAGAAGGCAAAAGATCAAAAATAACCAACCTAATACTAAAGAAGAACTATCAGTGGACTAACAGTACCTGACTTTAAGACTTACTATAAAGTTACAGTGTGCTATTGGCAAAATAATAGATAAATATATCAACACAACAGAGAGAACCTAGAAACAGACCCATTCAAGTAAAATCAACTTATCTTTCACAAAGAAGTAAAGTTGCTTATAACTGACCCTCCACATATGACTTTTTAAAAATGAATCTAGAGGCAGAATTTGCAGCTATTTTAAAAATTAACTCCAAGTTATTACTAGACATAGATGTAAAATGGAAAACTATGAAACTTCTAGATAATAACATAGGACAAAATTGAGGTGTCTTTTGGTTTATGAAGATGTTGTAGATATGACACCAAAAACATAATCCAGGAAAGAAAAGTGATGTTAGGCTTTCTGCTCTGTGAAATCCACAGCTAAGAGAGTGAAAAGGCAAGCCATGGACTGGGAGAGAACATATATTAAACACATATATTATAAAGGATTTGTTTGCATGATATATGAAGAACCCTTAAAACTCAATCATAAGAAAACAATCCAATTGAAAAACAGGTCTTAGATCTGAACAGATACCAAAGAAGGTGCACAGATGGCAAACAAGTATACAAGAAAATGCTCAATATCAAATGTTACAGGAAATTGCAAGTTAAAATAACAACGAGATACTACTACATGTCTATTAGAATGGCCAAAATCCAAAACACGAACAATGCTGAACAATGCCAAACACTGGCAAGAATGTTGAGTGCTTTGGTTTGGATGTGGTTTGTCACCACCAAAACACATGTTGAAATTTGATCCCCAATGTGGCAGTGTTGGGAAAGGGGACCGGGTGGGAAGTGTTTGGTGAGGGTGAGGCATAAGGGCAGTGCCAGGCAAAGAGCTGTAAAAGTGCCATTGAGCAGAGAGAGGTCTCATCAGGCTCTTTTCCCTTTGAGCACCTAGAACTTTGCTGATAAACTGATTCCTAATGTCACTTATCTGTCCAATATCCCTGGGAACCCACAAGCTGCTAATCTCTGCAAGGCCCTGCAAAGTGACTCCAACTCTCCTCATCACACCAGCACCTTCTACCCTGGCAGACCATCTCCCTCTCATTCCCGCACTTCTCCACCTATGCACAGCACAGCACATCCCCCTGGCCCTGCAGATCACCCCGAACCATCTCATCAGCGAGATCACCTGACTGGTCCAGTGCATGCTTGCTCAAGCTTTCAGACACCACACACAAGAATTAGTTCAGAAGGGATGCCAGCCTACCCAGTAGAGTTACTCATCCCCACCCCCCTGCTCTCCATGGAAGCTGGACACCCAGCTCTCCTAGTGAGGATGAAGTGGCATCTCATTGTGGTTTTAATCTGCATTTCCCAAATGACCAGTGTGCTACCTCTCTATGTTAACTGCAGGGAGTGCATGTATGGGGATGTGTGTGTGTGCACGTGCGCCTGTGTGTTTGTGATTATGGTTAGAGTTGCTTATTATAGACAAGGAGCTTGAGATTCAGAAAATGGATGAAATGAGCCCAAATGGAACTACTTGACATATCTAATCCTTTAAGCATCCTCGTGGTGGTTTTTCACTTCTACCAAGTAGCTGTGTTCTCCTGGTTCTAAACCGGGAACTGGCTCTCCTTTCTGTTTCTTGGATATAGGATTCTTGGCTCAGTAAACATTGGAGAACATGGTTGATGTCTATTGCCTGTGAACTTATGGAATGTTCTTTTTATGCTCTTCTCCCTGAAGGAATCCTCCCACACGCCTACTCCCACTGGGGCCTTCCCCCGCCTGCCTCTGGTTGGCTGGGTGTTCCTGATCACAGACTCAGTGCAGTGGAAAAAGGAGAACACCTTCCCGGGTGGTTCCTCCATCTTTCCCTGAATCACTGCTGTCACTGAGGCACTTCATTGCTGTCTTTAATAGCTCACAAGTGGCTCTTTCCGGAACCAATGGTGGAGCAGCCCATGGTTCAGCCAGTGGGGATGCTGAGGCAGCAGCGCTGGCATAAACTGCTGGAAAGCGGGTGGGACACTTTGCTTCTGAGACTCACTAAGTGCCCACTGGCCTGGGATCTGAGATGTGGGCTGGAGCTGCCCTTGATCTGGGCTGTCGGCTGCCAAGTCTCAATTAGACGGCCTGTAATGCAGTTGGCACAAGTGCTGAGGCAAAAGAAGAAAAGGATTCTCCCAAATAGAAGTGATCTCCTGACCATAATATTTGCAGAGGCCAGGAGTAGCCCACTGCCCTTCACTTACAGTTCTCGGCACGAAATCTCAATGCAATGGCATGCCCTTGAATAATGCCTCCAAAAATGTGTTTGGGAGCTGGATTCCACACACTTAGACACTGTCTAACAAATGCAAATTGCCCAAACAAAAGGGACCTGCGGGGCTTTGCGAGGGCATGGCACAGCACACACAGTCATCGTTTCAGGGGAGGAAGGCAGGCAGGGCTCTCACTGAAGTGCTCGCTCATGCCAGCGCCTGCTCTCAGCACCGTTCATTCAGAGAGTATGTGGGATTACATTTATTAGGAATGTGATTCATTTTTAATTCCACAGTCAGAGGGAGGTTCAGGGCAGAGCGCACGGCTTTCTTCCCTGAAGCTCTGGCGGTCCATGTCAGTGCCAGCTTCACCTCCGGGTACCGTTTTCAAGTTTTCATTCAAGGGGCTTGTCAGGAAGAGGAAGTGTTCTGATAAGCTGCAGGGGAGAGGAAACTGCAAGAAACTCCCATGCTTTTGTTTTAAACAAAAAGGCTGTTTAAACCTACTTAGCTTATTTTAAAGGCTTTTGGTAGAACTACATCTTCTCTGTTTCAGTGGTTGTGACACCTGCTTGACACGTGTCTCTGAAAATTGCAAGGACATGGAGAAGGTAGGAGAGCAGGAGCCGGACATGGAGAAGGTAGGAGAGCAGGAGCCAGACGGAGGTCCAGGCACCAAGGCTGGATTCTGAGGTCAACTGTCCACAACAAGGTCAGCCTTGGGGGACCTTTAAGAGTGATGTCTCGGCCGGGTGTGGTGTCTCAAGCCTGTAGTACCAGCACTTTGGGAGGCCGAGGCGGGTGGATCACGAGGTCGGCAGATCGAGACCATCCTGGTCAACATGGTGAAACCCCGTGTCTACTAAAAACTACAAAAAATTAGCTGGGCACGGTGGCATGTGCCTGTAATCCCAGCTACTCAGGAGGCTGAGGCAGGAGAATTGCCTGAACCCAGGGGGCGGAGGCTGTGGTGAGCCAAGATCGCACCATTGCACTCCAGCCTGGTTAACAAGAGTGAAACTCCGTCTCAAAAAAAAAAAAAAAAGAGTGATATCAGGGACACGTCCTAGCCACACGGCACAATGGCGCAAGTTGACCAGTCTGTTTGCAAAGGAAGTCACTCTGGAGGGAAGAATCTGCCCAGTGACTGAAGCTTTGCTGTGAAAATTAGTGCAGGATTCCGGGTCAGAAGATCAGACTCAAGTCCTACATCAGCCTCTGTGTCTGAGATGCTCGTTGAGCTTTAGTGCTGTCGGATAATGGAGATGAGGCTGCGGTTCCCTACAGCAACGTGTAGGAACTGGGTGAGAACACACATAGGGAACGGCTTTCTAAACCATAAAGCATGCTACACATCTCAGAGTGAATCGATTCCCTCTAAGGTACTATGATCAATACTGCTACACTAACAGGCAGGGACAAGCAAAACCCACCAGCCAGAATGCTGTGAGATCTCAGATCCCCATGGAGTTAGCCACACCTTTGCTTTTTTAACAATGTGCCTGTTGTAGACACAGGCAAGTGATCTCATGCACCACCAGTGAAATTATAAATTGCTACAATCTTTCTGAGAATAAAATAACGACAAATGTTTGCAGCAGGACGCTGTACAACTGCTAACATTATATTCAGAAAGAAACTTGATTGACAAAAAGTACTCGTTGTCACGTCAAATTTTTTTTTTCTTTTTTTTGAGACGGAGTTTCGCTCTTGTTACCCAGGCTGGAGTGCAATGGCGCGATCTCGGCTCACCACAACCTCTGCCTCCTGGGTTCAGGCAATTCTCCTGCCTCAGTCTCCCAAGCAGCTGGGAGTACAGGCACGCGCCACCATGCCCAGCTAATTTTTTTTTGTATTTTTAGTGGAGACGGGGTTTCACCATGTTGACCAGGATGGTCTCGATCTCTTGACCTCGTGATCCACCCGCCTCGGCCTCCCAAAGTGCTGGGATTACAGGCATGAGCCACCGCGCCCGGCTATGTCAAATTAATCACACATATAATATCTTATACATGTAAATATTTATACCCAAGTGGGCAAACTACAGCCTGTGGGCCAAGTCCATTCTCCTGCCTGTGTGTAGAGTTTAATGGGCACCAGCCACACGCATTCACTCACTTGGTGCCCATGGCCGCTTTCCTGCTGTAACAGTAGAGTTCAGGAGTTGTCACAGAGACCTGAAAAGCCTGGAATATTTTACTCTCTGACCCACCAAAAAAAAAATTGAAACCCTTGATCTGTGTCAGCAAAAAGAAATCAAGACTGAAAAGTACTCTCAATTGTCAGCAACGGTTTGAGGATGTTGAACCCCGGGTGGTGTGTCTGGTGGAAGAATACTCAGGAAATTCTACATGGTCATTCATCCCTTAATAGCAGAGACAACTTCTGAGAAATGCATTGCTGGGCGACTTCTTGGCGTGGGAACATTACAGAGTATGCTTACACAGACGCAGATGCTATGGCCGTCTACACAGCTAGGCCAGAGGGCTGGCTTATTGCTCCTAGGCTACAAAGCCATACAGCACGTTACTAGACTGAATCCTGCTAGCAACACGAAGGTACGTGTCCGCGTATCTAACCATGTCTAAACATAGAAAAGGTTTTGACTGTTGAAAATATGGCATAAAGGTTTTTTTAATGGGACACCTGTATAGTGCACTTACTACAAGTAGAACTCGCAGGCCTGAGGCTGGGCACTTTGGCTCATGCCTGTAATCCCAGCACATTGGAAGGCCGAGGTGGGCAGATCACTTGAGGTCAGGAGTTCAAGACCAGCCTGGCCAACGTGGTGAACCCCATCGCTATTAAAAATACAAAAAATTAGCTGTGCATGGTGGCTGGTGCCTGTAATCCCAACTACTCGGGTTAAAGGAGAATCACTTTAACCCAGGAGACAGAGGCTGCAGTGAGCAAACATCGCACCACCACACCCCAGCCTGGGTGACAGAGTGAGACTCCATCTCAGAAAAAAACAAAGAACTTGGGAGGCCTGAAAATTGCTCTGGGTGAGTGAGTGAGTGAGTGAGTGGGGAGTGAATGGGAAGGCCCAGGACACGCCTGTGCCTTACTGTGTACTGTATAAACTGTATAATTTGGCCACACTAAATTTATAAAAATGAATTTTCTTTTTTCAGCAATAAACTAACTTTAGCTTACTGTAACTTTTTCACTTGATAAACTTTTTAATATTTTCCTGTAATAACACTTAGCTTAAAACACATGTTGCATGGCTAAACAAAAACATTTCCTTTCTTTATATCCTTATTCTAGAAGCTTTTTTCTATGCTTTTTTTTTTTTGCTTGTTATGTTCTTTTGTTAAAAACTAAGACACAGACACACACATTAGCCTAGGACTACACAGGGTCAGGGTCATCAGTATCCCTGGCTTCCACCTCCATATCTTGTCCCACCGGAAGGTCTTGAGGGGCAGTAACAGGCATGGAGCTGCCATCCCAACATAGGAGGCTTTGACAGCAACGCCTTCTTCTGGAACACCTCCTGAAGGACCTGCCCGAGGCTGTTTCACAGTAAACTTGTCTATTAATAAATAGGAGTACACTCTAAAACAATAATAAAAAGCATAATACAGTAAATACATAAGCCAGTCACATGGTCGTTTACCATTATCAAGTATTATGTACTAGACATAATTGTGAGCAGTAGACTTTCAAATGACCGGCAGCACAGGAGGTTTGCTTCCACCAGCATCACCAGACACAAGTCAGATATTGCACTGGCGTCATGAGGGCCATGCCGGCACCGGGCAATAGGACTTTTCAGCTCAGCTCCAGTATCATCCTATGGGGTCACCATGGTGTGTGCAGTGGGTTGTTGACTGAAGCCTTGTTATGCAGCTCATGGCTGCGTCTCAAGGCCAGGGTCAGGAAAGGGAGAAGCACCAGGTCAAGGGCTTGCTGAGATCCTGACTGCGATCTGGAGAAAGGCCTTTGGTGGGGGCCGGTTGGGGAGAAGGTCCGGGAATGGGGTTGCCCTGCAAGGGTCAGGACTAGGCAGTAGGGAAGAAATGGGAGCGGCAAACGTGGGCTACTCAACACAAAAACTTCGTGGGGGGAAAATCTAAGCACAAGAAATAGATGTGTCAAATCGATGTTTATCTCAGGAGGGAGGAGACCGGTGCCTGCAGTTGTCACCGTGGGAAGGTGGAGCACTGGGCTCTGAGGTGGGGTCCTGTGGCTGCAATCAGTCAAGGTCCACAGGCCTCACGGTAGGGACGCCTCCTCTGGAAAATTAAAAATCTGTTTTCCGTGTAACTGTACTTGTGATCTCTCACTTCTCAGATTTATTTCTGGCAATATCTTCTGCTTCTTTCCTTCCCTTAAAAACATGACTTTTTAAAATAAATCCTTTATTTATTGGTCAACAGACGAAATATCACACACTTTGCTTATCAAAATTCAGTCCTTCTAAGATGTTGAGGATAAAACACCCCCAGACAACTGGCCTGGTCAGAGAAGAAAGCTATTATAGAAGAGCGTGTTGTGAATTTTTTCCAGAATGTGAAAATATACACTTTAATTTCACAAGTTAGTAATTAGTATGGTAGGACAAAGTCATAATCCAAAACAATAATCTTTATTACCAAAATCGAGATTAAACACAATTAAAATGAACAATATTACCAGCCATAATTGCTAATCAATTAGCTGAGAAGCTATATTACTGTAATCTTCCTAGTCCCCAATTTGCCCTTCCTCTATCTGCTCCGTGTTTGTAAGATGGAGATGAGTTAAAAGGATCCTCTGCTGTGAGCCCTTTCTTGATCATAGCCTCGGCCTCCAGCCGCCTCATCCTCTGCTGTGAGCGTTTCCGCCCATCAGGTGCGTGGGAACCCGTCCCCTAATTGTGAAGGTCAAAGCCGGGTCCAGCAGGCATTTCCAGCTGCTTGTGGTCATCACACCCATCAGAGAGCCCAAAGGGCAGTGTCTACAACTGTCCTCAAGTCTTCTGCTCAAAACATCCACATTCTGAATGCCCAGCCAGCCCAGGCAGCTCATATACAGCCTCCCTTTCAGAAAGGCCAGACCACAGGATGTGGGAGAGCGTGGGAGTAACAGTTCATCTTTCCTGGCTCACAACAAACTGCAGGGAAGGTTGAGCCCTCTGCCCGATTAACTGGGAATCCAAAATGACACAATGAGTTTGTGAACATTCCCTGAATGTTAAAACGACATCAGCCGGTCACAGCAAGAAACTTGTGAACACCCAATTTCATGGGCTCGCCTTCTTTTTTTTAAGTGTGGCTGAAGCTGACTTCTGCAGTCTGAGCCCTGTCCCCGTGCACGGGTCGGGTGGAGCTCTGAGAGTTAGACGCAGACTTGGTGTCACCCACCTATGATGGCACTGATTGGCCATGGAGTCTGGGCAGGGCAAAGGCCTCCTCGGGAAGGAAGAGCCCCCACTGCAGAAGCCACCGTAGAGGGCAGGGGCATGGGTGCAGATGGCTTCAGACAGCCCCTCCTCATGAAGAACCCTCGTGGATCTCTGAAAATCAGGCTACAGGTGGCGAAATACCAGGCACGGAAGCCCCCTGGTCCCCAGACACCTCGTCCACTCCGTTCTCCTCCAGCTCCAGTGGAAAATGCACTCACTGGGGGCTCCTTTGCCTCCTCCCTTCTGTCAGCCGCTTTGGATACAACTGAGTGGTTTCTCCACACTGTTGAGAAACCAGGCTGTGGGGGGCTGCCCTTCCCAGCTCCTAACACCTGCAGACGGGGTCAGGCTTGAGGGTCAGCCTGGAGGAAGATGCCACATATGGTACTGCCCATGTCCAGCTGGGCACCGCCTCTCTTCCTACCTCTGCTGGCTGATGCCATACTGGGCGCACAGCTTGTGGACAAGGTTTGCAGATGAGGGAGCCGCCCACAGGTTCCAGTTGTGTGCACCAAATCCCCCCAGCCCCAAAAAGCATCAGGAGGGCAAACCAGTTACCAGAGAAGGAAGCTCCCAGAAACCTCTAATTGCCTCTTGCGACATTTTAGAGCCAAACAGATGCACTTGCTATGAAAAACCCCAGGAGCTATAAATGGAAACTGAGGCTCAGGAAGGCAATGGGGCTCACAGGAGGCCACGCAGCAGTGGCCTCGTCTGTGGAAAGACAAGGTCCTCGATTCCCCCTCTGGGCCAACCACCCCGAGTCTCCCTGCCACACTCTGCGTTCCTAGCGGGGCCCCTCTGCCCTCCACCTCCCTGGCCACCTCCACCCCACCCCTCCACCATGTGTGCCAAGAATGCAGGACCCTGCTGCCCCTGGTCTGCCACGGTCACTGTGGGTCTCTCTGCAGTCCCACTGCCTCCTGTTCTGCATGTTGGGGCCGCAGTGTCAAGCAACCCTTACCTACCCCGGCCCCACCCAACACAGCAGCTCAAAGCCCGCAGTCAGTGCGTCCAGGGAATCCTTCCATCCACGTCCAGGAAAGGGCCTTGGTTTGTGTCCCTGGAACAAGTGAAGGAGCTGAACAGGCTGAACCAAAATCCTGCGGATCAAATCTTAAGCCTCTGTAATTCTCCTCGGTTGGTAGGGGAAGGACCACACAGTATTCTCATCTAAAATCAAACCAGAAGAATCCCTCTCAGTGTCCTGGGGCAACTTCCTGTAAGGCTAGAGAATAGGATACACCCAACCCCTCAGGACGCTGGTCAGGGATAAGGGCAAAAGGTGTACGATTACCATGATGGTCTGTTCACTCTGAGCGCAGAAAGCTCTGGCAAAGCAGCTAACTGGAAGCACAGGGCATTATCTGTAAAGACATTCCATCGGTATTTAAATGATGCTGGGCTGGAGTTGGAGGCTTGACACTGGTTGCTTAGTATTTCCCATATGGAGAAGGAAGCAGAATAACTGTTTTGAGGGAAAATAAACACCTGGGGACTTTGAAGGCCCAGAAAGTCTGAGAAGACCGAGTAGGAGCGAACACAAAAAGCTGGCTGAACTGCTGCTTTCTCATGGGACCCTCTGCCACGTCTCTGGGGCTTTAGATCGGAGATCAAGATCTCCTCTGGAGGACCTTGGAGGAGAAAGGAATGTGAGACTCATGGAAGGAAGGGCGTGACCTTGACCTCAGAAAGTCCTCCCTCAACCCCCGGTGACCCCTGAGACGAAAGCCCTGCCGTTCCCAGATGCCTTTCGACTCGAGGCTCCCAATGGCTCTTCCTGGAGCCTGGCAGAACCACCCTCTGGCAGGTGCAAGGAACAAACAAGGAGAGGAGACAGAAAGAGGATTGAAAACTTTGCTCATAGATATTCTTCCAGTGCTGTTGAATGCGGCTCCTTTGTTTGTTTCGACAATGGATCTTATCTTTCGGCGAGGGCTGTGTTCAGGACTATTATTACCCTACATAAAAGGCTCGCCGCCTTTCTTCCCACTTGTTCAGCGGCACCGGAGTGGCATAGCAAATTTAATCGAAGAACCAGCTCCTGGGAGAGTCTTCCGAGACGCTCCCCTTCCTCCTAATGCTGTTATCTCCCCTTCCTTGTGTTGAGGAAGCATAAAAATCACAAAAAAGTCATTCTGAGCATATTCTTCCCGATAATTATTGTCAGGCTCGGAGATAAGTGTCCTACGTGATGTAATGTGTGTTAGGCGGACCCCCTGAATGCAAATCCTGCTGCGGTGGCCGCCAGACAATGCTCCCCCACATCGCTGGGGCCTCTGCATTTTGCCAGAGACAAGAGAGCGCTTTGATTTCTTGTGTTTTGATAAGGCGCAATCTGGGGGCCTTTATCTCCACTGTTATATTTAAAGATGACATTCTAGCCCTGCCGTCTTAACTATTGTTTTGACCCTGATTATCTCCAAATGTTGTTGTTTAGTCAAACTCGCCAGCTTAATGAAAGACCTGCTCCCAATTTAAGGAAAATTATTTAAATGCAGAGTATCCTACACACCGCAGTTTCCAAAAGAACTAGGTGGTTAATCAAAAGTTAATTGTATAATTCTCATGCAGATTAGGGCCTCTTGCAAATGAATCCCAGGTTGTGATTATTAAAAAAAAAAGTGGGGGGGCAGTGTGGAGCAATGCACAGAGGCCCACTGTCTGGTAAACAATCAGGCTCGGTTTAATTTGTGGTAAACAAAGTGATGATACACCAGGGGTCTCCAAAGGAGAAAAAAAGGTGAAAATAAATTAAAGCACACCATACAGATATGATCTTTTTGTTTGAGGCCATCTTCCAAAAACATTCGCGAAATGCATAAAAGGCAGCCCATTAATATTTACCAGAAGCCAGGAACTGTACAAAGACCCGCAAGTCCATAATTACACTGTGATTTTAGGAGGGGGCCTGGGCAGCAGATGGCCACTCTCCTCCACCAGTGACTTCCACTGCTGCCCCCTCCTCGGGGAAACTGATACAAAGCCCACTCACCTCCTTGAGGTCTAGGACGGCGCACCTGACTACATTGCTTTGTCTTCCGAGAATGTCAAACACCTGCCCTGCCCTGGGGATGGTTGGTTGTGAAGAGTCTGCAGGCTCCTAGAAGGGGGGGGGTGTTGACAGGGGGCGAAGATCTACTGGAATGTGGAGAAAGAAGGGGCCTGAACAGCTTCCGCCTTGGTCCTCATGGAGCACCGAGCCAAGGCCCTGCCTAGCAGCAATGACTGTGGACTTGCCTGCATTTCTAGTGAAGGAACACTGTTCCAAAGGCCTCCACCTCTAGGGAAGGCCTGACTCTGATCATCTCTCTGTTGAGTTACATGGGGTGAGGACAAGTCTCTGGGCAATGGAAAGCGTTCGGACCCCACATCCTTCTCCTCAGGTGCTTCCATATAACAAGGATTCACGACAGAATCCCGGGACAGGTTGGAAGCATTTCTGCCAAGCTGAATTGTAAAAATCAGCTGTGGGGCTGCAGGTTCTGGAAACTCTCCTGACCTGCTGCTTTAATGCGTTAAGTTTCCTTGCTCTCAGATTCCAGGCTGAACTTTAAAAGATTGAAATAAGTCTTCCCGCTCTCCAACCGATCAACTCTATGTCTGCTTGGAGGAAATAACTCTGAAAAGCGTGGCTAGAGAGGGTCACTCTGGCTATTTCTGTGACCCTCCCAGGAAGGGCTCCTAGTCTACCCCATCCACCCACCGCCCTGTGGGGCCAATCCCAGAGCCGTCACTTCCTAGGCAGGAACCTGCAATTCCTCTTATTTCCACCACTGGCACAGAATGGAGGCCAAGATCTAAGCAGTTCCCGGGAAGCCCCACTGGCGTCTCAACAACGGCACCAGCCTCCTTCTCAGGACGCGGCTCTCGCCTTCTGCTTTTGTTGAGCCTGTCCCCTGGGGTGCCCTAACTTAAGTCCCATAAACTGGGTGGCTTGAAACAGAAATTCATTGTCTCACAACTTGGAAGCTAGAAGTCTGAAAGCAAGGGGTCAGCAGGCCTCGCTCCCTCTGAGGGCTCCAGGAGAGAACCCTTCCTGCCTCTTCCAGATCCTGGTGGCCACATGACTCCAGTCTCTTCCTCCACCGTCACACAGCGTTCTCCCTGTGTGTCTCTGTGTCTTTGCAGGGCTGTCTTTTTACCCGCCATTGGATTAAGGACCCAGGGACCCACTCTACTCCATTATGACCTCATCTGAACCAAATAAATTTGCAAACAGCCTATTCCAAAGGAGGTCCCGTTCTGAGGTGCGGGCTCAGGACTCAGATATTTCTTTAGAAGGGTGGGCGGGGGCCGGGCACGGTGGCTCACGCCTGTAATCCCAACACTTTGGGAGGCCGAGGCGAGTGGATCACGAGGTCAAGAGATCGAGGCCATCCTGGTCAACATGGTGAAACCCCGTCTTTACTAAAAATACAAAAAATTAGCTTGGCATGGTGGCGCGTGCCTATAATCCCTGCTACTCGGGAAGCTGAGGCAGGAGAATTGCCTGAACCCAGGAGGCGGAGGTTGCAGTGAGCCGAGATCGCGCCATTGCACTCCAGCCTGGGTAACAAGAGCGAAACTCCGTGTCAAAAAAAAAGAAGGATGGGCGGAAAGACGCCATTCAGCCCACAGCAGAGCCGCGGAGCTCTGGCTTGAATGCAGCCTGTGTCATGAGCCGCCTGATTCCATGTCAGGCCCTCCACTGATGGGAGCCACCTCTATCTGCATGCAAGTTACCGCCTCAAAGGAACGCCCTTCGGGGCTGAGACAGGACTCCGCCGGCTTGGGGGAGGCTGCCGGCAAGTGCGGGGCACAGGGACTAGCGGGGAGGAAATGAAAGCAATTCCTCCAAGATGCTGCCCTCAGGGGACCAGTCTGGCCACCCCGTCTGAATCGCTGCCGCCACCGACACCTGCTATCAAGACGCTCTCCCGGGCCCGGGCTGGCTCCGCCCCCTTCTCGGGCCTCGCTGGGCCTCCAGCGGCCGCAGACGCGCGCCCTCTGGCGGCCCCGTCTGGACGCACACGGCCTGGTCCGCAGCCCCGCCGCGTGGCGACACAGGTGGCGCCTCTGCCATGGCGGGGACACCTGCAAACTGACTTTCCGAACCAGCCACGCGTTCCTCCCAGGCAATACCAAACGGCTGGTAATCCGTGCACAGCAAACCACCGCGTCTTACAACGGAGAAGAGCCCCGGCTCCTAAACAGGCCGCGGGATTTTACTCCGCAGGACTTTGACCGGCTCTCAATCAGGCCACCGCAGCCGCCTCATACATCTTAATAAACCCTCCATTAGAGAGAAACCTTTGAAACGAAACTGTCCAGTAATACGCACTTTGCAATCGGAACACATGGGAGTCTTTAAATATTTACCGCACATAAATAAAGCATGCTGTGGAGCGGGCGCTTCTGGGCACCTGCGCTCGCCACGAATCCAAGGGCGCTGGGTGTCAGTATTGATGTACGAATTAGAATATTAAGCACAGAAACACAGGGCGCCGGGAGAGGTCGAACCGCACCGTCCCCCGGAAAGAAACGCTTCCCAGGGCTGTTTCTGAAGGTGGGGCGTGTGACTCCCTCCTGACCTAACCCGGAGCGGGTGGGGCCCGAGGTGGAGAAGGGTCCGAGCAGACGCCGGGGGAGGGCGGTGCACAGCCAGGGGTGCAGCTCCGCCACCTGCGGGGAGACCCGGCAGAGCCTGGCTGCGTCCCGGCTGCGTCCCCTGCCCTGGGCCTAGCTAAGGTTCCGTGCGGGCTGCGCGGAGCTGGAGAAGGAAGCTGCGAATCCGGCGCTTCCCCGAGGCGGCCCTGGGCGAGCAGGGGGACGGGCTCCTGCGCCTCCGGCCACCGCGCAGTTTCTCCCCCTGCGGGAGCGGCTGCTCCAAGGCCGTCCCCGCTGCTCCCGGGGGAAGGGCGCGGCCGCCGCGGTGGGCGCTGAGCAGGTGGGCTCCGGGCGCCCGGACTCCCAGGCTGCGCTCCCTGCCAGGCCCAGAGGGTGCGCCCGGGGGAGGCGCCCAGGAGGCCGCGAGGGCCGGGAAGCCTGAGCTCCGGCCCAACTACCGACAGGTCCCGCTCCTCCGGCTGAGAGTGACGCCCGTGAAACAGAGGGGGCGCCGTCCACCCCACCTGTGGGATCGCGGCGGGGCGGGGCACTGGCGGGAAGGGGGCGTCAGGGGGCCCCGGGGCCCCGGGGCCCCGCGAGGAACGCTCAGCGCGACCGGGAGGTGGGGGCGCGGCCGGGACAGGGAGGGGCCGCAGGAACTCGCCCCTTCTTCTGCAGTTTAGCGCGCGGAGAAGCGGCACCGCGTCCCCCACCAACGAGGAAACGGGGGCGCCGAAGGGCCCCGCGGCGCTCGCCGAGAAGCGCCGGGCTCCGCTGCCCCGGCCGCGGGACCCAACCCCCGGGGGAACTGCCCGGGACGCGGGCGTGGGGTCCCGTGAGGTCTCGCGGCCGCCCCCGGCACTCTCTCCTGTGTGCTTGGGAAACGGAACCCGGAGGCCTGACCTGCTCTGGTGGGGACCGAGACGCCGACGCCACCGGGGAGCGGAAGCCTCCGGGGTCCCGGGCGCGCTCGCCCTCTGGCGGCCGGCCTTGGAGTGGACGCCGCCGCGGCCGGACTCCACTCCCGTCAGTCAAACCCACAAGGTCAGATGCAATCTATTGGTTACAGCCGCCTCTGGCTACTATGGCAACGGGGGACATGGTTGAACCCGAAGTGTCATTAAGCTGCTCCTTGCTCCATATTAACTTGGGAAGGAAAACAGCTTCATTCCCAATTTTCCACACTCCCGCCTCTGTGCAGGCCATGTCCGGCCCTCGGGGCTTCCAAGCCCGGGCTCTCCTCCCACGCGGGTTCTGCCGACTTCTGCGGGCGGCACGGGACTAGGCCACAGACGCCCAGGCAGCCTGGGATGTGATGGACTGCTCTGCAAGCAGGGCGCCCACCCCCTCATCTTCGTGGGCACTTCCCTTTGAGGGAAGGTTCTGGAGCCCGGCTGCCATTTCAGGCCCAGTGCAGCTGGCTGCTCCCCCAGGAGTGTGCGCAAAACCCTTCAGCCCTGGGCCCTATTCCTCAATGCGGAAGGGCCTACAGCCCACAGGACTATGTGAGAATTCAAAGGGATAATCCATGAAAGGCGCTTCAAAACTAAATTTAATTTAAAATTTGTACTTATAATAGTTTTATAGAAAAGTTGCAGGTGGCACGGAGGTCACCCTTCCCTTGTTGCGGGCATCTGACATGGGTGTGCACGCCCCGCACACCAGCGAGCCAATACTGATGCACCATTGTCACCTGAAGCCCTTCTTTTACTCCGATTTTTTATTTTTCCAGTTTTACCTAATGCCCTTTTCCTGCTCCAGGATCCCAGATCACATCTGATGCTCCTGTCTCCCTAGGCTCTTCTTGGTGGTGATGGCTTCTCCAACTTTCCTTGTTTTTAGTGACCTCGGCAGTTTTGAGAGTACTGGTCAGCTATTTTGTAGAATGTCTCTCAATCTGGGTTGGTTTTTCTGATGTTTTAAATGATTAGGTTGGGGTTAAGGGGCTTGGGGTTCCACTCAGGTGACACGATGTGAACAGTGCATACTCTCAGCATGACTACAGCATCCACCATCGTTGACTTTGATCTCCTGGCTGAGATAGGTCAGGTTTCTCTGTGGCAAAGTGACTCTTTTTCCTTCTTTCCAGGCTGTCCTCTTTGGAAGGAAGTCATTCTGCTCAGCCCACACTTACCCAGCTGGGAGTTAGGCAGCGCCTCCTGGAGGGCGGAATGTCTCAGTAGACTATTTAGAATTCTCCTGAGGCAAGATGTGCCTTTCCTCCTCCATTTGTTTATTTAATCAGCCATCTATATCAGCGTGGACTCCTGGGTGTTTATTTTATACTTTAAGTCTTAATTCAGTGCATTTTGTATTGGCTTGTTCTTAGCGTTGGCCATTGGGAGGCCTTTCAATTCCTTCCTGTGCTCCTTTGACATGCTGCTAGCTTTCTGCTTTTCTAGCGCTGACTTCCTTTCTGGCACCAGCTGATGCTCCAGGCTCATCTTGTATATTTCCTGCCCCAGTCCCAGAATTGCCCTTTGCCGTAAGCAACTCTGTTTCCCTTCACTGGAAAATGGTATTAGAAACCAAGCTCTGGACACAGGGCTTACTTGCTGCAATTGGGGGCCATTGCTTCAAGAGGGACTTTTAAAAAAATCTAGCACACAGTAACTGCTCAATAATTGTTGGTTATCAATATTGTTAATACATAGCAGACATTGTACCGAGGGCAAGGGATGTAACTGGCATGTGGGATCAGTCCTCACTAGACTCACAGCCTGGGGGCAAAGATGCACTTGTGACAAATTCTGCTGCCCGGTGAGAAGGAATTTGATGGATGCCCAAGGTGTTAAGGGGCACAATGAAGCAGCATTAGAAATGCCACAAAGGACCATGGATGTAAATTCCCCTCCACTGGGCGGTTACATGAAAGAAGCAAGCTACACAATAGCGTCAACTGTATGATCCCAGCTTTGTCATATAAACGAGAGAGAGAGAGAGAGAGAGAGAGAGAGCGCACATGCATTCTGGGAGGTAGATTTTATTTCTAGTATTGTATAGTGTGTGGAAGTAACTGGTGTAGTTGCAGTGATGTTCACTATCCTTCCCTCTGAGTGGTGGTATTCTAGGTAAAGTTCTACGCATTCCTTTTTATGCTTATCTAAATTTCCTGAAATAAATTCATGAACGTGTACAACTGCTTTGAAGGAATGTTTGGAGGCTAGAAGGGAGCTGGTTTGTTTTCTAGTCGCAGGTTCCACGGGTCCCTGCTGAGATGCCAGGCAGACCTGTGGGAGGGGCAGGAATCTGTGGGTGTTGGCGGCTGGTGTCTTCATGCCTGCAGGCCATGCTGCCCACCACCTGCCCCGGTGAGTGGTGGGGTTGCTGGTCTTTGGGGCCTGACAGCCACACTGGGGGAATCCCGAGGCTCATTGAGGGCTGGAGAGTTTTGTATAAGTGTATGGGGTACAAGTACAATTGTTGCACGCATAGATTACATCGTGATCAAGCCAGAGCATTTAGGGCAGCCAGCACCCAAATAACATACATGGCACCCATTAAGTAATTTTTCATCTTCCACTCCCTTCCACCCTCTCACCCGCCGAGTCTCTGTTGTCTGATCGCTATTTTGCTCACTTCTCTCTGCAGGGCACAGAGTAGGTGCTCAGTAAATCTCTTTAAAAGAATTTATTTGAGAACCACCAAAATGTTGATACTTGCAATGTCATAATCAGAAATGTGAATTTTGCTTTTGGCCCAAGAGGACCATGCTCATCCGCTTTCCCGTACCATCATCTGAGTCAAGTTATCTTTGCAGCCGTCCCACCAGGCCCATTCTTGGAATTCTAGGGGTTCTTTGACCTCTGGAAACCTGGAGCCCGCACCTGTGATGCCCAAGGGGAGGGTGCCTGCACTTGCTGCCCCTTCCATCCTTCCCTGCCCTCGGGGTTCAGCCCTTGGCTCCAACCACACACTCAGCTTGACTCTGGACCCCAGGTGGCCTGCCTTGAGGACAAAGAACGTCTTTCAAGTGGCCAGTCCTGGAACTAGGGGTCCGCCCTGCTCAGGCCTAGCCAGCAGCCGCACCCACCTCACTGGGGAGGACTCAAGCCCCTGCTGGAGCTTCTGTCTGTCTCTAGTAACAGACCTGGGGGCAGAGCTAAGGCCAGGAGCCAGCAGTGCTGAGAGTCTAATCAGGGGTGTGGTGGAAGGTCCTATGCAGCAGGGCCCCAAGGGGTGAGGACTGTGAGGTCAGGCAGGGGTTCAGGACAGAAGTGGTCCCACCGGGAATATATGACTCACCAGGGAACATCAGTGGGTGACTGACATGGAGGCTCTTTGGGAGACAAGCTTGGGAGTGCGCCATGGGGTGTTCTGCACAGCTCTGTGGGCACCACACTTAGGGATGAGAGTAATTTCTGAGCTAAGAAGGGATGGGGATGAGCCCCACTTGACTTGTGGGAGTCAAAGCCTGTGAGATGGGGGTCTGCAGGGCAACTGGCCAGGAGGGGGCCCTGAGCTAACCCCCATGGTACCTCAGGACAGCTTTGGGGTGCAGTCCTATGAGCACCTCCCAGAGCTAGGTCATTTTGCAGGATCTTTTCACATGAGCAGCAAAAGCATTTCAGACTTGTGATTTTTACTGACCTCCCTATCCACTCACCTTGTTTCCTCGGATCCCATAGAGAATCCTTTAAAATCCCACTATGCCCCCGGGAGAAAGTGCTCAGCACAGTGCACCACCACACACATTCAAGTTGCTCAGAATCCAAGGGACACAAAATAGAGACCCATTGGCCAGGTTGAACACACAGCATTAGGCTTCTGGCCGTTGTCTGGGAGTCCCGCGTCAGAAGGGCCAGACCACCTCCTGCTGGAGACCAACACCCTCCCCACCCCAAATCCCATCACCGGAGCTGGGCATGCCATAATTTATTTCACTTTTGTTAGGTTTGCTTTTTCTGATTGCCAAAAATATTAACTCCCAGGTTCGTGGCAGATTGTTAGTTTCACTCTTTGTTTTGACACTCTTAATTTGGCTTGTTGTTTCTGAGGTATATAAGTTTTAAAATTTTTGTAGCTAAATTTGTTGACCTTTTCTATTTTTTGAGACAGGGTCTCACTCTGTCACCCAGGCTGGAGTGCAGTGGCGTGATCAAGACTCACTGCAACCTCAACCTCCTGGGCTCAGAAGATCCTCCCACCTCAGCCTCCTAAGTAGCTGGGACTACAGGCATGAACCATCACACCTGGATATTTTTGTATTTTTTGTAGAGACCAGGTTTTGCCATGCTGCCCAGGCTGGTCACCAATTCCTGAGCTCAAGCAATCTGCCCTCTGTGGCCTCCCAAAGTGCTGGGATTACAGGTGTGAGCCACTGCTCCCAGCCTGACCTTTCCTTTATAATTTCTTTTACTGCATAGAAAGTCAACTTTCCTGTGGGAAAATACAATAAGATTCAATTCACTCATTCACATAATACACATTAATTCTAGGGGGATTAATCTAAACATTTTTAAACTAAAAATATTTACAAAACAGAAAGATAGGAAAACATTTATGTTGCTTGGGGTAGGGAAGGTCCTCTCAAAATAAGTAATACTCAAAATAGATAAAACTTCATAAGAATAAAATGATAGATTTGGTCACATAAACTTCTAAATGGCAAAAGGCACTCTATCTACCTATATTATCAACAATGAGCCAAAATCTTTTCTACATAAGGCATCGTTAAAAGTAAATAAGCTAAAGACAGTCTGGACACAGTGGTTCACACCTGTAATCACAGCACTTCAGGAGGCTGAGGCAAGAGGATACCTTTAGCCTAGGAGTTCAAGACTAGCTAGACATTATAGTAAGACCTCATCTCTGCAAAAATTAAAAAATATATTAGCCAGGCATGGTGGCACATACCTGTAGTCCCAATGACTGTGGAGGCTGTGTTGGGAGGACTCAAGCCCAGGAGGCTGGGGCTACAGTGAGCCGAGATCGTGAGCCACTACACCCCAGCCTGGGCAACAGAGGGAGACTATGTCTCAAAAACATTAAAAATAATAAATAAGGAACAAAGCCATGTAAATGATATGGACAAGCTATTCACAGAAGGAATTTAACTGGTTTAAAATGTCCAGCCATACAAGTTAATTAGGCAAAATGCAATTAAAACAAAAATGTATTGGCATTTTACTATCTACCAGTTGGCAAAAATTGAGAATATCTTTTGTTGGTGACCGTATAAAGGAACATGAACATTCATAAAGTGTTGGGGGGAATTTCAGTCAATATCACCTTTGTAGAGGAATTTACAATAGCTATTAATATTTTTAATGAATACATCCTTAGACTCAGCAATTACAAAGCTAGAAATGTTTTCTATTTAAATACTTGCGCATTGCAAAAAGTATCTAACAGGATGCCCACTGAAGCACTACTTGTAATTGAAAAAACATGGAAATAACCTAAATGTACATTTTGGGGATGGTTTAAATAAGCTATAGTATTATATGCTATAGAATGTTCTGCTTTTAATAAAAAGAATAAAAGATATTCACATCCCCTAAAAAGGAAAGATATTTATGAAATATTAAGCAGTGGGAATGGGATGGGGAAACCAAGTTGTAGAATAATATCTATTTTTGGGTTAGAGGACTTTTTAAAAATGTCTTCTATTTATACCTCATTTCTTCTTTCTTGTTAGTTAACGAAAATTGCAAGGGTGTTAATTTACTTTTGCTTTCTGCTTGGGATAAAATGACATATTTTTTATGCATAAAAGTCTTATTTTAATTATTTTCTTTATTTCCATGTTTAATTATATTTTATTTTCTCTTTGACAATTTTTATTTAAGAAAGTGGCTTTTAAAGTCCTGATTAGTAAGTTGGAAGAGTTTCTGTGTTTGTTCAAAGGTGTATCCATGATTTCTAGTTTATTGGATACTAATTAGAGAATGTGGCCTGGTCAGTTTCTACTTCTGGGAGCTTTCTGAGATTTTCTTTGAGTGCTGGCATATTAGCCTATTTTCACACTGCTATGAAGACATATCTAAGACTGGGCAAGTTATAAAGAAACTAGGTTTAATTAGCTCCTGGTTCTGTGGGCTGCATAAGTTTCTGCTTCTGGAGAGGCCTCAAGAAACTTATAATCATGGCAGAAGGCAAAGGGAAAGCAGGCATATATTTACATGGTTGGCAGAAGAGAGAGAGTGAAAGCAAGAAAGAGAAAGAGAGAGAAGTGCTACATGCTTTCAAACAACCAGATCTTGCGAGAATTCACTCACTATCACAAATACAGTAAGACGTAAATCTGCCCCCATCATCCAATCACCTCCCACCAGGTTTCTCCCGCAACACTGGGAATTACAATTCAGCATGAGATTTGGGTGGGGATGTAGGGCCAAACCATATCATTCTGCCCCTGGACCCTCCCAAACCTCAAGTTCTTCTCACATTTCAAAACACAATCATGTGATCCCAACAACCACCCAAAATCTTAACTCATTCCAGCATTAACTCAAAAGTCCAAGTCCAAAGTGTCATTTGAGACAAGACAAGTCTCCTTGCCTATGATCCTATAAAATCAAAACAAGTTGGTTACTTCCAAGATACAATGAGGGTACAAGCATTGGGTAAATGCTCCCATTCCAAAAGAGAAATTGGCTCATGGTTCTGTGGGCTGCATAGGCTTCTTAAAACAAAGTGACTACAGGCCCCCATGCAAGTCCAAAACCCAGCAAGGCAACCATTACATCTGATAGCTCCAAAATAAACTTTTTGACTCCATGTCTCATATCAAAGCCACACTGACAGAAAAGGTGGGCTCCCAAGGCCTTGCACAGCTCTGCCCCTGTGGCTGTGCAGGGTACAGCACCTGAGGCTGCTTTCACATGCTGGCATTGAGAGCCTGCAGCTTTTCCAGGTGCATAGTGTAAGCTGTCAGCAGATCTAACATTCTGGGGTATGGAGGATGGTGGCCCTCTTCTCACAACTTCACCAGGCAGTGCTCCAGTGGGAACGCTGGGTGAGGGCTCCAACCCCATATTTTCCCTTTGCACTGCCCTAGTGGAGTTTCTCCATCAGGGCTCCACCTCTGCAGCAGAATTATGCCTGGACATTCAGGCATTTTCATACATCCTCTGAAGTCTAGCCAGAGGTTCCTGATATACTTTGGTTGTGTTCCCCACCCAAGTCTTATCTTGAATTGTAACTCCCATAATTCCCATATCATGCGGAGAACTAGGCAGGAGGTGATTGAATTATGGAAGCAGGTCTTTCCTGTACTGTTCTTGTAATAGTGAATGAGTTCTGTGAGATCTGATGGTTTTAAAAATGGGAGTTTCTCTGCACAAGCT